AAGTACTGTCTCTCGTCGTCGATCGCTCTCCCCGAGCGGGCTTCAACCGGTTTCAAAGCTCTATCCTGCCAGATCTATCCCTTGCTTCTCACACATCAGTTTTGCGTGCTCAGCATGAGCAAAGTCTCCTGCGGTCCCCCAAGTCCATGGCAACTTGTCCAGTGCATGGTGTCTGACGCTACTGCGTTGCCCTTCAAGTCATCGATTCTTGATGCCTCCATCGAAAGCGATTTTGAAGTCCCTTGCCTCCGAAGATGGGCTGGAGGGTGAGGAGAAGAGGGTTGGGTTAGGGTCAAGGCAGCGGATCGTGGCCAGCTTCAATACTCCGGCACATGTGACGTCATCGTTCGCGACCTGTCGTGCTCGTCGGTTTTTCCTCATAAGCGCAAGCAAGCACGCAAATCACTCATTGCTCCTTTCCTTTCCTCTCCTACCATCAAGCTTATCGCCTACTCGAAGAAATCCCGCTATTGCGGACCTGACTGGTTTGCTTGCTATAGCGGTAAGTAGACTAACCCTCGCACTCCATTCGGTTGGTCTCATGTGCATGGCCAACGTCATACTTACGATGCTCGTGTATACCCTCACACTGAGGTTACCATACTTGGCGGTGTCTGCTCTTGGACGGTCAGTCGTGCTGCCTACTCTCTATCAGCTATGGTTTGTGCTGAGGCTGCTCAAGCCTTTCACGGTGCATATCCTGCGAGGACGATGGGCACCGCTGCCGCCCACGCGCCACTGGTCGCTTGTCACTCGTGTCTTATACTTGGCCTTGACTACTGTCGCTATCTGGGAATCTGCGGAGAGCGCGTTTGAATCCATCGTAGCAGAGGTTTGTACTGTTCCATCAAGAACTCCGAGTCGCGCTAACGGTCAGGTAAGTCCATCTGTGTTTCAGCGCATACAGCAAACCCCGGCCTCACATTGGTGTCAGGCATCACATCCACGGATCTATACCTTAAGCACTTCGCATATGTCAAGCTGCGCAACTTCGCAACTTGAGGAGTTATCTACCATTGCACAGCGCCGCTCAGCCTAGTTCGCCAGCCAGAGATACACCTCGAACATGTGGTTGACGTTGTCCCCACGCTCGGATGCGACTCCCAGCCCTTCCTGCACAGAGGCCAGCAAGTGCCTCCATGTACGTCCCATCCTCTCCGTTGTCCCTTCACTCTCCCTGTCTCACCGTACCCTGCTCCCACGCTACCGCTGCATTGGCACCCAAACCGTCCACCTCCCTCCTGGACCACGCAACGCCCCTCCTCCACACCTCAGTCTTCAAGACCACGCAGTACTCCCCGCTCCGTGCGTCTTGCGCTCGGTGTTGCCCTTGACCCCACCAGCGCCTGCGAACGCAGCAATCGAGACGGTGAAGAGGGCGGAGGACAGCGTGCGTGGGTCATCAGCAAAACCAAGGGCATGTGGCACGAGGGTATCCGAGTTAGGAAGATGGTCCCATGTATTTATGTATTGTAGTCATTTTAATTCATATCAGTTTTCGCATACAATCCTGAGCGATATTGTGTCGGATTTACGGGTGGTGTGCCTGCTACAGACTCCCATTGCCAAACTACTACTTGGCCAGGTGTATGATGCTAATGGCAATGGAACACCCTACTCACATTGGAATTCCTGACCGGTCATGCCTATGTGTTCCAGTGCAATCTGATGAGTTACAATGACGGTTCTATATACTACAGTGATCACAAATATCAAGCTCTCATATCTAACGCCAATGCAACACTCATCTCGCCAAGACTAGCATTATGATGAAATCCTATGCAAGCACTCCTTACATTGCCAATACAAACCGCGTTGCAACGATTGGACATTTTTGCTGATGCTGAGCGAAGCATAAGGGCCTGTTCGGCAAAGAGTTGGAGTTAGAGTTACCGGCATTTCATGCTGTTGAACTTGGACTTATCCGGTCCGGACTACACGAGGCTATGCGTCTCCTAGCGCTTAGCTGTAGTCGCTTATGTAGTATGTTACCATATTTGGGACTCTCTGCTCGTGTACTATAGCTATGGTTCCGGACTCTTCTGGTACTGTCTAGGACAATCCGTACTACTCCAGAACGGTCTAGACAGGTCTATGCCTTACTCATCTCTTACTCATCCTATGGTGCGATACGTCGCAATTCTTTCACCATCGTATTATTCATCGCACTATGGTACATGTGACTAACCACTCTTCGATTAGTCATGGACACTTCTCTGTAGTATATAAGGACTTCAGATTGCGTCCTCCCTCTTCAGTCTTTCCTTACTGACTGAAGAGTGAGTACTTCGTTACATCTACCTCTAACTTGTAGTTACTTACTTAACCTTTGTAGTCCTGCTTTGACTCTAGGTACAGTTCGTTGCTGCAATATAGTTCTTTCCTTACTG